AAGTGAGAAAGTGAAAATTTACTTTTAGATCCTGCCCTAGCCCTCTTAATAGTATTTTTGTATATAAAGTGTAGTTCATCATGAATCCTGACACTACTAAGCAGATTAGAATCTGGAATTACCTACATCTGGAAGTAAATGTTCATATGACTTGGATGCATTCTTATACGTAGAACATACTTTATGTATAAACATACAGATCTATATCAGGAGTCATGCCAAATCTGACCCATGGCCTGTTTCTGTATGGTTCTAAGCTAAGAATGGTTTTTACCTTTTTAAATGCCGGAAAAATATCAAAAGGAGAATATTTTGTGACATAAACATTTTAATGAAATTCAAATTTCAGTGTTCATAAATCAAATTATTTAAACACAATCACATTAATTTTTTTAGGATTGTTTACAGTTGCTTTTGTGCAACAATAGCAGAGCTAAATAGCTACAACAGAGAACATTCAGCCCGCAAGGCCTGAGCTTGATTTATTTGCTAAGGTATGCTTGTATATTTATGCTATTTTTATATTTTACATTTTAATAATTTTACAAGTGCTAAAAATTTCAAAGGAAAAATCTATATTCCATATAAATCTGCAGATGTAATTATATAATTAGGATTAAGGTAGTAAAACACTTTAAATTACTTTCAAGAATACTGCAACATACTTAAAGAGCACCAGTGTAGTACAATAACATCTCAAAGTGATCCTATCAACTAATATCAATAAAAAAAAAATTAGGCTGGGTGCAGGTGCCTATAATCCCAACACTTTGGGAGGCCTAGGTGGGCAAATCACCCGGTGTCAGTTCAAGACCAGCCTAGCCAACATGGTGAAACCCCGTCTCTACTAAAAGTACAAAAATTAGCCAGGCGGGTTTGGTGGTGTGTGTCTGTAGTCCCAGCTACTCAGGAGGCTGAGGCAGGAGAATCACTTGAACCCAGGAGGTTGAAGTTGCAGTGAGCCAAGATCCTGTACTGCACCAGCCTGGTAGACAAAGTGAGACTTTGTCTCAAAAAGAAAAAAAAATTTTTTTGAACATCTCAAGTTATTGGAATGATCTTCAAAAGCTACTAAATTAGTTCTTTTCTTTTGCCTTTTATCTTATTATAATTTTGCAAGTGATACAATTCCAACAATAAAAAACAGGACTTGAAAATAAAATAGTTTATTCTTAAAAGAAGAGATCTTGCAAGAAATGCTTAGTCTGTGTCACAAACACCCACCATAAAAACTCATTGAAGTTAATTAAAAGTTTCACATAATATGACACCTGGACTATATTATTAACGATCAAAGTTTACCTAACATTTTGTTACCAGAAGTTTGCTTCCTTTAGCCCAGTTTACACATTTCTAAATGCAAATAAATTTGTTATGTGACCAAATGCATATTTTCATTTTCCTTAAAAAGCTATTGCCTAGTTGTTATTGCATTACTAATTAAAGGAAGACATACTGATATTTATTGCTAAGCAATTTGTATACATTATCTAAGACAAAAGCCTTTCCAAGAAGTATTATTATCATCCTTTTATAGAAAGGAGCTGAAGCTCAGAGAAGTTAAGTAACTTGTTCAAGGTGACATAGCCAGTAAGTGTAGTGCTAAGATCCAGATTCATGGTGCCCCTAATAACACAGCTCCTAGTTCTTATCCCAGGGCGTCACATTATTTTAAATGTATAGCTTTCATCACTGGTAACTTTTAAAGTAAGGGGTTATTGATTATTAATGTTACTTTGCATACTTTGGACTATTGCTCAAAGTCTGTAAAGTAGCAACACTGACATTAAGAACGAGGAAAGCATGCTTACAACTTAGAACAATGTTTCTGGTTGAGATTAGATGTAAATTACTATTTTATTACACATATTCACTATTATAATGTTGCCTATGTTAACCATTATTTGAGAACAGACCACAGCCAGTAAGCTAAGAATATTTTTTACATATTAAATTTTTAAAATGTTGTCAAAATTAGAATATTTCATGACACATAAAAATTATATGAAATTTAAAATTTAGGGCTCATAAAGTTTTATTGGAACATAGCCATGCTTCTTCATTTACATATTGTCTATGGTTGTTTTTATACTATGATGGCAGAGCTGAGCTGCTGAAACACAGACATGTGGCCTCCAAAGCCAAAAATATTTACTATCTGGCCCCTTAGAGAAAAAGACTCTCCTATGGAATTAAGAGTATCTAAATCCTAGCAACATATTTTTTAGTATGAAAAGTATATTTAAGTATAAAATTGAAAAACTTTATGCAGATACAAATAATGAGCATATTGAAATACTTCTTCTTCTCTGATTATATATTCTAATTTAATCAAATATAGGGTAAGGTCCAGCCAAACTGTGCCTGTTCTAACTGCTTGTGATGCACATTTCTGACAGGCATAAACTCCTTTTTTTTTTTTTTTTTTTTTTTTTTTTAATGAGACAGAGTTTCACTCTTGTTACCCAGGCTGGAATGCAATGGCACGATCTCAGCTCACCACAACCTCCGCCTCCTGGGTTCAAGCAGTTCTCCTGCCTCAGCCTCCCGAGTAGCTGGGACTACAGGCATGTACCACCATGCCCTGCTAATTTTTGTATTTTTAGTAGAGATGGGGTTTCACCATGTTGACCAGAATAGTATCGATCTATTGACCTCATGATCCACCTGCCTCGGCCTCCCAAAGTGCTGGGATTATAGGCTTGAGCCACCATGCTTGGCTGAACTCCTTTTTGATTCTGCAATTGGGTGGTTCCACAAAAATGTGATGGCTGTGTTTTAATTGTTTGATTTTTTTTAGCATATTAGCATTTGATTTAGGAGAAAGTTTGTTTATCTGTGTGTAAGTATAAATGTAGTTAATATCCATAGTTCAAAAAAATTTAAAGGCCAATATTAATTTCTAATTTTAAATGTATAGCTTTCATCACTGATGATTTTTAAAGTGAGGAAAATTGATTCTTAATGTTACTTTATATACTTTGGGATATTTCTCAAAGTCTGTAGAGTAGCAAATATCTTTTTGCTTTATTAAGAATATTCAATTTAAATTATGAAAGTCTATGGGTTACGAAGGTGATTATGTTTGTATGCATGGCCACTTTGCTTCAATTGCTCTGCTTGACATGGCAGTTTTTGGGCAAAATTTATCATGTAATAAACTGATAAATAGTTACAAAAACAATATATGCATCATTTGGACGAGATTACGAAGTTTAAGAAAAGAATACACTGATCTAAAAAAGTCTAAGAATACCATTGATACAAAAAATCATAACCAACTGCTGTCAATAAACAACTAAAAGGCATGTTCATTTTTCCTTTTTAAGTAGTGAACACAGAAAAGAGATGCAAACACAGACATAGCAACAGACAGCAAACCAGAGGGCCAAATCCACACACCCAAACACATGCAGTGTACCAGCATCTCTCATACTTGTTGCAGAAGAGGGGGTGTTGCAACTCAGCAACCAGTCTGCTGTGTTTAAAACAGTCATGTTGTCCCCTGAGAACAGGAACAGTATAAAAGTTCATTGTCTGAATGCCTGCTGAGTGGATATGAATAATCTTCAATGCTTGCACTCATTTCTGATCTTTTAGTCAAAATTATAACTGCCCTGTTTGACTTTAATATTTTAATTTCAGGTCTGTTTTAGTTCAGTCAAATATAGGCGTATGATTAGTGAATTTCACCAGTCTGTTTCTAGAGTGCTTGAGTTTTTAAATTTTGTTACCTGTACTCAATTTAAGGTTTAAATGTACTTTACGCTAGTTTTCATCACTAAATATTCTATACATTTGCAACTGCTTCATTAATTAGCTGAAATTATAGATGCATGTTTAGAGACAAATAAACATCATAAACAAGAAAAATGTTAATCTACAAGGGAATTGGTGTAAAACATTATTAAATACAGGTAAGTTGCAATGCACACAACCTTATGAAGAGAATTTTAGATTGCATCGTTATTCTAAAATAAATGGGAAGAGGTGTATCAATTTCATAGATATTTATTTAAAATTTAAAGAAAATATGATGTGGCAAATGCTAATATTCGATGACATAGTTTACAAATTAAATGTCATCTAATTCTAAATTTATTGGCTAGATGGGATCTACCAAATTTCAAATTGTGAATAATTTAAAATGCAGTCTATATAAGTGTGTGCATAATCTCTATAAATATATATTGTGATACAAAAATTGAATATTTTCTGAAAAATTAATACATTCTATAAAAATAATAAAGCAGAATACTTGAAATAATAGCTATTTGCCATATGCTGTGGCATATTTATGGGCTCACAGAATGACAAATTATCTGAAAAAATGCAATTCCTTTTTAAATAAATGTTTGGTGTTATTCTCTTTGAAAAGAAAATGCAGCAGATATGAGTATTTTTGTATTTCCAAAACCGTGTCTTTTTTTTTTAAAGTACTTTTAAGAAAAAAAATTTTTAAGGAAAATGTTGAGGCAACCTTTCTTTATAATTCAAAATAAAACCAAAAAGCCAAAAAGTAATAAGTGTGTGTATGTGTGTGTATATATACACACTTATATATACACATATACACACACACACACATATATATATGTATATATATATGTATATATATGTGTGTATATATATATATATATATATATATATATATATATACACATATATTTGCTACTATCAGGGTGGAAATCCTTTGGCCTCAATTTCTAAATTTTGTGAAATATTTACAATGGCAAATACAAAAAAAAAAAACCCTGCTAAAGGCCCTTGAAATGTTGATCAACACTATCTATCCTCTGTGAAGGTTCCCAGCTATAGAGGAGGAGCAAAAATTTCAAGAAAATAATCAAAACAATAAATATTAATTATATAAACCTTGGATATAATGCTGATTTGTGTTATTGGTAATAAGATATTTTTTTATTGGCAGATCCCTAAGAAGTAAAATTAAAGCAAACATTGAAATATGATTCTGGGTATCCTCAGGGTAGTACACTTACCTCCTGTCCCATTTGTAGTGACTGAGGTGCTGCTGAGATTAGATTTTTCCAGTTTGGAGCTACCCGGAGTATCACCACCTCCAACAAGAGTGTGAGGACTTGCTAGGTCCTGCATTTCCATAGACCTGGTAGAGCAGTAAGTGGCAGAGCAGTTGAAATTGTGGGAATTATTTTTTAATAGATTAAAATTATTCTATGGAGCACGTGTAATCTCACAATAATAAGAATTAAAATCAATATCTAAGGCTTAGTCAACCAGATGAACATGTCAGTTCATTAAAAACAAACAAACATACAAACAAATGTATACACAAATAAGAAAAGCTTCCGTAGTAAGTTAGGCCTCATAACCTGTTTGTAATAACATAACATGTTATTATAACATATTGTAACATAATATGGAAAACATATGTTATTACTAACATAAAAAATAAAATGTTATTACTAACATATAAAAATAAAAAATAATCCTATGACTATTTCATATAATGTAAGAAAAAAATGCAAATTCTATCATCTTGACAACTTAAGCTGATATGAATACCCACCCTCCTAAACTGATCACCTTAGCTACACACTATAGAGAGCTGAAAATGTTTAATTCCCCAAACCTGGCATCCCCTGCCACCAATAATGAGAAAATCAAGTAGCCAGAAATAAAGTGTGAACTCAAAATCAAGCAGAAGCTTCAAGCTGACCTTGTTGACCCAGGGAGCTGAAAAATGAACCCAAGTCCTGAGAGCCGGTTTTGTAACACTTTCAATATCCATTCGGGAATAGGACTTTGACTCAGGTTTGCTCCAGTGATTGTGCTACAATTGGGGTAAAATAAAACTGGGATTCTTGAAGGGCTGATCATCTTTAAAAAGGAAACTAGAAAAAAGAACTGTGCAGCAGCCCAAAGAAGCTCTCTTTCATGCTTTCATGAAAGAAAGAAACATAGGAGATAGATAAAAGTTGGGCGAATTGCTCACCAACCTGAACTATAACAAATACTAAAGGAAGACCTTCAGCTGAAAGAAAAGATATCAAATGAAAACTCAGGCCTACAGGAAAGAATTAAGAGTAACACAGCTGCAAATACACGAGTAAATATAAAGGATTATCTTTTATTTTTATCTTAATTCATGAAAGACAGTTGATTAAAGCAAAAATAATTGCAGTATATAGAGGGACTTAGAGAAGTAATATGTGACAACAATAGCAAAAAGTTAAGGTTCTTTGATCTGGCATAAGGTGTTATATTCAATGTGGGTAAGAGGTAAGTTTAGGATACACCGAGTAATCCTCAGCATTAAACGTTAAGAAAAATACCATCAGGTATAACAAAAAGCCAATAGAACGATTAAAATAACATTTTAAAGAATGTGATTAACTCCAAAAAGCCAAAAAAGGGAAGGGAAACAAAGAATATATGTGAAAAATGGAAAATACAAAGCAAGATGGCACATTCTAACTAAAGCACATTGATGATTACACTAAATATCAATGGACTAAATATCCCAAATCCAAGTATTGTCAGGTTAGATTATATAACCAAGACCTAACTATGCAGGATCTACAAGAGAAGCACTTAAATATCAGCATATTGTGCCACTATAGTACACTGCCCAGACATCCTGAAGAACTCATTCCTATAGCTGTGGAGAGTGTCACCAATAGGCAGCTTTCAACTGAGTTCCTTTCCAAAATCTGCCCTTAACTAAAGAAGGTCACTGTGCCCGAGAGCACACCCTTTCTGAAGGCAGCCCTCATCTACTGCTTTGTCAGTGGAGGGGCAAAATGACTAGCATTCCCTCTTACCGTAAGACACAACTATTCCCTGTCACCACAGTCTAGGAGACCTCATAAGACCCGCTGAGACCTTTGCTGCAACTGTACCACAGATCAACGTCCCTTAATCCAGCCCTGCTTCCCTCATGCGCCTCAAAAGAAACTAATACTGACAGCACAACCCAAATAAACTCCTACAGGAAATATTTCAGCATCTGCATCCTGGGAACCTGAAAAGTGGTTAAGTCTCAAATAGGTGGAGGGTTAAGGAATGGAAAATGATATACCATGCAGATAATCAATATAAGAAAGATGTTCGGGCTAATATTATATCACACAAAATTGGCCTGAAGATGAAGACTATTAGCAAATATAAAGAAAGGAATTGGAAAATGATGAAAAACAATAAATTCTTCAGAAAGACATAACATGTGCCTACAAGCAGATTTACAGAATACACGGAGCAAAACCTGACAGAATTAAAGGAAGAAACAGATATGTCTATAATCATAATTTCAGCTTTTATAACATGCTTTCACAGCAGCCAACAGAAGAAAAGTAGACAAAAATAAATTTAAAAATATATATACGTAAGATCTGGAAAGCATTATCACCAATGCGACCTAATTGACCCAACAATTATCAAACACACACTATTTTCAAGTGCACATGGAACATCTACCAAAAGGACAGACCTGGGCTATAGCTGGGCTATAAAGTAAATATGATAGATTTTAAAGTTGAAATTTTAGAGGGTATGGTATATGACCACAATGAATTAATTTGGAAAGCAATGGTAATAAGATACTTAAAAAAAATCCCCAACATTTGAAAATTAAACACCACACCTCTAAATAATTTGTGAACCAAAGGAAAAAAACACAAGTAAGTATAGTAAATATTTACAACAAAATGATAACGAAAAAGACATCAAACCAAACTGTGGTATGCAAATAAAGTAGTGATTAATAAGAACTTTATACCTTTAAATGGTTATATTAGAAAAGAAGAAAAATTTTAAATCTGCCATCTTTTTCCACTTTAAGAAACTAGAGGAAGAAAAGCAAACTAAGCAGAAGGTAAGCAGAAGGAAACAATGAAGAGTAGAAATAATTGAAACAGAAAATCTGTGAACAATAGAGAAAATTTACAAATCCAAAAGATGATCACTAGAGATACTAATGATTTTAAAAGGGTAATAAGGAAGTATCATGAACAATGTTATGCCACTTAATTCAAGGACACACAAAATCAGTGAATTTCTTGAAAGGCACACTTATAAAACCTGATCCAATAATAAATAGAAAATCTAATAGTCCTGCATTGAATAAAAAAACTGAATTCATAATTAAGTATTTATTTTTTAAAAAACCTCCAGGGCCATATGGTTCAATTAATAAATACTAGAGAACTTTTTTTGCTATTATTATTTAAAAATTTTTTTAAATAATTTTTTTTTTGTACAAATTCTTTCAGAAAAAAATAGAAGGAAACACTTTTCATTCCATGGTTGGAGACCAGAATTATCCTGACCCCAAAACTTGAAAGGGACAATTTTAAGAAAATATATTTCTTGTAAACAAAGATGAAAAAATATTTAACAAAATATTCTTAAATCAAATCCAGCAATAAAAAAAAAAAATCATGACCAAGTGAACTTTATGCCAGTAATGTAAAGATGATTTCACATGTGGAAATCAATGTAATTAATTCAACATAGTATTATTTCCATGGTTGAAAAAAAAAAAGGTAACCTGACAATATTCATCATCCATTCATGATACAAACTTGGCAAACTAAGAGAAGAAGTATTTTTCTTCTGTCTGATAAAAACACTCTTGAAAAATCTATAGCTTATATCATATTCAATGATGAAATACTCAATTATTTCAGTAACAAGTCAAAGATGTCTGCTTTTCCTACTTCAACACTAGTAATATTCTACTAGCAATCTTAGCCAGTACCAGACAACAGTAAAGAAATAAAATAAGCAAAGTTTAGAAAGAAAAAAACTTTAATTCACAAATGATTTAACTGTGTATATAGAAAATTCTGAGAAATTCTTCTCCTAAACCCTTAAACTATTAAAACTAATGAGTGAATTTACCAAAGTTACATATATAAGGACCATGCCAGTAATAAATTAAAAAAAAAACTAAACTAAACTAAACTAAAAGACTAACACTTCAGTCAATGCCTCTCCAGTTCAAATATTGAAATATCAAAGCAGTGGTTGTTCAGAGGGATGGAAGTTGGGATAATCATGGTCCAACTTGTTGAGCTCAACTCTAGGAAGGGTCTGAATGAACAGACCCTCACCTTAACTGCCGTAAGAAAGAACTACCATGTTTTGGGGAAACAAAACACAAAAGAAATACTATGCTTCAATATCTATTAATTTATGGTATATAATGTTCAGAACATATAAATATTTTGTGACCTAACAAAAAGCAGAAAAATATGACTCGTAGTGCAGAGAAAACACAATAGATAAAAGCAGACTTGTATATGATACAAGTGTTGAAACTAGCAGATGAGGATTTTAAAACTAATGTGAATATATTAAGTATCTTATAGGAAAAGATACACATACAAGGTACATAAATATCTATGTGCCATATATAGGTATTAATATATACATATCTGCCATATAAACATTTATCATACATAGATCAATACATGTATATATATATATATATATATATAATATATATAAAAACATATATATGTATGTATCTCTATATTACATATGGAGAAAAAATGTAAACTTTTTTTTGTTTTGAGATGGAGTCTCGCACTGTTGCCCAGGTTGTAGTGCAGTGGCATGATCTCGGCTCACTGCAAGCTTCACCTCTTGGGTTCAAGCAATTCTCCTGCCTCAGCCTCCCAAGTAGCTGGGACAACAGGTGTGTGCTACCATGAACAGCTAATTTCTGTTTTTGTATTTTTAGTAGAGACAGCTTTCATCATGTTGACCAGAATGGTCTCAATCTCCTGATCTGTCTGCTTTGGCCTCCCAAAGTGCTGGGATTACAGGTGTGAGCCACCACACCCGGCCAGAAACTCTTAAAAAAAGAACTAAATAAAATTTCTAGAATGAAAATTACAATAAATTAAATAAAAAGTATTATTTGAGAGAACTTAACAACAGATTGGACATTACAAAAGAAAAGATCAGTATATCTGAAGCTGGATCAATGCAAATTATCCAAACTGAAGCAACAGTGGAAAAACGTGGGAGTGGAAACTGGGAAACTGGGAGTATAAGTAACCTGTGCAACATTATCAAAAAAAAACAGGAGAAAGAGAATGATACAGAATAATATTGGAATACGTAATGGTCAAAATGGCC